GTCTGTCCCCACAGGACACGGTGTATCTACTCCTTCCCACCGGTCCCTGCCAGCAGGAGCGATGTCACTTCCTGTTCCCTGTCCGGTAACTTGGCCCACCTGGCTGTGCCCTAAGGACAGTGACTTTCTACTCTGCCGCCTGCACCACCTCAGAGTTTTCCTCCAAGAAAGACCTAACTCGAGATTTCCAAAGAATTGAGATGAGATTGTCACAAAGGGCTGACCTGTCCTCCTGAGGGTTCCAGGGGAAGCCTGGCCATTATAACTGCCCTCTCCCCTTCCTATTGCACACACACACACACACACACACACACACACACACACACCTCCAAGTCCCACCCACACACCACCGTAGTCTCTCTGCTGTCCCCTCTCTCTTTCTCCCCTCTCCCTATTCTAGAAATGTCATTTGGTCCCTGCACTCACAGTGGGAATCTTTGTTTTCTTCCAGAGCCCTGCTGGAGCTTGTTCAAGTAAACAGGGCCTGGGAGCAACCTACCAGCGCAGAGCTGTTGCTGGGCAACCAGCTGCTGCCTCCAACAGCCTGAGGCCTCCCCTACTTCCCTTCTGGCAGAAAGAAAGCTCCTGACAGAATGGGTGCAAGGGCCCCTAAGCTTGGGCCTTGGATGGCTCGGTGGCAGGGAGCAGGGGCACTGGCTCACAGACCTGTGCCACCTGCAGAGGTCACCAGGTCATGGCTTGACTCGAGAATGTCCCCTGCAGGTTCTTGTGTAGAAACTTGGTCCCAAGCTGGTGGAGCCATTTTGAGAGTTTCCGGAAACTTGAGGAGGTAGGGCCAGGTTGGAGGAAGTAGATCCCCAGGCTCCTCCTCGCTCTCCGTTTCCTGGCTGCCATGAGACCAGCAGCCTCCTCCTCCTCCTCATGCTCCTGTCACCATCCCAAGCACGCAGGGACCAGTAACCAGGCACTGGACCCCATGAAACGGTGACAAAATGAACCCTTCTTCCCTTGGGATGTGCCTCTTGGGTATTTGGTCACAATGGCAAAAAGTCTAACATACACCCATACCCACTTCTATATCCCATTAAAAGTGTCTGGAGCTGGGTGCTGGTGCTGGTGGCTCACACCAGTAATCCTGCCTACTCAGGAGGCTGAGATCTGAGGATCACAGCTCAAAAGCAGCCTTGGAAGAGAAATCCATGAGACGCTTACCTCCCATGAACCACCAGAAAACCAGAAGTGATGGTGTGGCTCCAAGTGGCAACCTTGAGCAGAAGAGCTCAGAGACAGAGCCCAGATCCTAAGTTCAAGCCCACAACTAACTAAAAAAAAAAAAACCCAAAAGCTGAAAAGGCAACCGTGGCGGTGGCCGTCAGGAAAGCTGAAGCACCACAGCCCTGCCTGCCACTGAGCTGTATTCCAGCAGCCTTGCCAGACACAGAGCCAAAGGACTCTGCCTGCTACTGACAGCAGAAAAACGTTCTTACCACCTTCATCTCTATTATGGCCAGGTGACTTCAATGTCCCAGCCTTTGGACTCAAATGTTCCCTAATGATCAAGGTATGATGATTGGTACCCCAACTTCACTAATTCAGGAAGTCTGTTTGTCCACCCAGTTCTTCTCTCACCAAGTATTTCTAGAGTTCCCTGACCTAGGAGGCACAGGTACCAGGTTCCTCTGGTGGGCATTGGTGCCACATTCCATTACACTGTGCATGCCTGCTTTCCTGAAATGCCAACTGAGGCCCAGCTGGACTCAAAGTCAGAAAGCTAAAGCAGAGCCAAGAGGCTCAGTTCTGCCATGGGAAGCGGCCTTTCCTCAACCTCAGTTCAAAGCAACATTGAGCCCACCTTGGGGAAGGGGTGACCTCTCCTGGCCACCTCCACAGCACACTCTATCCCAAAGCCAGACCTCTGGAACCTTCCTTAACCAACCTAGGCCCCCTAGAGTTTTTCCACTTTTATTCTGGGCCTACATCCCAGTCACCAGGTCACTGGCATCGCGTGTCCCCTAAGCCAAGGTCACACTGGGAAATGCTTTGCCTGTGGGAATCAGCTACTTGGATCACCCCAAGATAGCCAGGATAGCTATTCCTGCCCATCTTCCTGAAATTCTATGTCACTTCCTCTCTCCACCTCCCCCCTCCCCCAATGCACAACTTGAACTAGAAACATGCATCGGCGTGTTTGAGCACCATCTGGCATGGATGTCCACTCCAAAGCAATTCTTAGAGGGGAGAAGCTTCTCAGATCTGCTTTGCAGATCACCCTAAATATCTTTGTGTATGTGCCTGCGGCGCACCTGACAGAGACATGTGCTGGTTGGGCTTGATCCAGGGGCAGCCCCAGAACAGAGGTCTGGAGGAGGAGCTTAGCCCCGCCCCCCAGCGGCACTCTGAAGCACAGCGCTTCTGATCCTGCCTCCTCCAGACTTCAAAGCACACAGGGCGTCATGGCTGCGGTGTCTCCGGATCCCCCCTCCCTCAGCACAGAGATCAAGCTCCCAGCAGGCTGAACCGGGGGAGAAAGGATCATGTAAGACAAGGTCCTCATGCATGGTGTGAATCTATTTATTCATCAAAGCCAATGAATCAAATGGGTTTTTTTCCAGTTAATCTTATGGACGTGCACGCATGTCTATGTGTGTTCAAACGGGGTCTCATGTGTGGCCACACAATAGCTTTGGTTCTCACTGAATTGAATAGTGGAACTCAGCCTTTTCTTACCTTCTTCTTTTTCTTTTGTCGGTCATGGGGCTTGAACTCTGAGCCCTGGCGCTGTCCCTCAGCTCTTCAGCTCAAGGCTAGTGCTCTAGCACTTGAGCCACAATACCACTTTGGCTTTTTCTGCTTATGTGGTGCTGAGGAATTGAACCCAGGGCCTCATGCAGGCAAGGCAAGCACTCTACCACTGAGCCAACTTCCCAGCCCAAATCCAGCCTTTTCTATACCTAAGTTCTGGCTCCTGCGACTCACTGGTGGCATCCGCTGCAGGGGTGGTCCCTCTGCCCATCCCAGCCCCACACTCATGCTGGGATGATGGCCCACTATGGCCAGCATGGCCTCAAAACTGGATCCTCCTACAGAGCAGACCTCCCCCTTCCCCTCCCCCCTCCCCTGCCACCACCACCCCCGCCACCGCCATGACCTGAGCCTATTTCCAGGGAGGCTTTCTCCCTTCTCTTCAAACAGCTCCACACAGACAAGGTTTTAGTTTAGATCATCTCTGGGAATGATGGGTGGCCGGGGTCCCCCGGAACCTTGGTCTTGGTGGCCCATTCAGCCCTAATGGCAGACATCCCTCAACTCTACTACATGATCTTCTAGATCCGCTCCTCATACACACACACTTGGGGGCTACATGGCTCCAACACCAACCCCAGATGCCCTGCCGAATGGGACGGTCTGCTTCTCCCACAGTCGCAGGTGGCGTTTCTGTGCAGGACAGCCGGGGGACAGCACTGTTGGGCAGGGAGAGGAAGCGCCGAGCTGCTGTCCAGGCCGGTCCCGACTCTGCGCGTGCTGGCTCCTGGAGGCCCAGGCTGGCAGGGTGGGCGGTGGGGGGGGAATCTCTGGCCTTGGTGCCCTCACTTCCTCGCCCATTGTCACCATTGCTGGACAGGTCCCTCCGCACCCAGGGGGTGACTCCAGTCACCCCGAAGAAGCGGCTACAGAATGGCACCTGAACCCTGCCACAGCTGCGGCCCACGGAGGCCCCTGCCCTTCCCTGGTTCCGTCCAGTAGAGGGGAGGGATGCTCCCCCAGGAAGAGCTCTGCCCTCCCTCACCCTTCCTGCCCTCTCCACCCCCACCCCCTACATGGCTCCTCCTCCTCTGCCTCCTCCTCCTCTGCCTCCTCCTCTTCTCCTCTATTGGCAGGTCCCGGGTTTTATCTAAGGCTCCCTCTTCTCCCCCCTCCACGCAGCCACCCCTACAGCTGCTCGAGGCTCAGCCTCCCGCGCTGCTTTTCTCGGCCCACTCTTCCCCCTGGCAAAAGCACCTTCCCATTTCTCCTTCCAGCCATCTCGCTCCCGGACGGCTGAGTCATCTCAGGGCTCTGGGCTGCCGCCACCTGCTCCTTCCTTCTCCAGAGCCCCAGACGCCCATCGATGCCTCGAGAGGCCGAGTGAGGCTTGTAGCAGGCTGAGCGCCCTCTGCTGCCTCATGGAGGGCCCCCCCCCAACTCATGCATTTCCTGGCCAGAGCCGGTCAGTCGGCTCTCTGGGAAGTGTCACCAGGGTTGGCCACCTTCACTCTGCCACCTCAAAAATCAAACCAAGACTGACGATTTCTCACACCAAGACCGTCGACTTCTCTCTCACATCTTCAAATTCGGCCCAAACAAATCACTTCCCAGGCAGCCCAGATAGAAGGCTGGGTGTGGTCAGGCCTCCGTCCTCTCCTAGCCCGGGCTGGACAGCGTGGGGTCAGCATGTACTGGACAGCGTGGGGTCATGGGAGAGGGGCTGTCCACTGCCAACCCTTGGCCCGGCCTCTTCCTTCCCCAGATGTGTCCTGAGAGCTCACGCCTCTCGAGTGTCGTTACTGCTTTACCCGTCTGTCCCCTCGGCCTCCACGAAGGGTCTCCGCGGGCCGGGCTACCCAGCCACCTCACTCCTGCAGACTGCTTGACCCGGGGAGCGTTAGCTGGCCTCCTACACTATCCACTGCCTACAGGAAATGGGACTGTGCACCAATGTCTCCTGAGCCCTAAACACGCCAGGTTGTCATCTCCAAGCCATTGTCACCAGCAGGGCAAAGGTGCACGTCCGGTCAATCCAAGGAAAGGCTTGCTGCTCCCCACCACCACAGCTCTTCCCAGGACACCCACCGCAGCTGCCTCTATTGATTCCCTCCCCTAAGTCCTCTCTTCCTTTCTAGAATCTTCTAGTGGAACAGATGGATGGGAAAGCTTGAGAAACAGCCCTCTTCCTTTTTTTTTTTCAGATGAATTTTGAATCTTCTGCCTCATACTTCTTTGGACTTAGAAATGAAGCCTTCACCTGGGACCTAGGTTCATCCACAAATCCCAGACCGGAGGTGATCTACATCAAGGTATGTGGACGCTGTGGAAAGCTGTTTAGGGGTACAAAGAGCAAAGACGGTGCTCATCATCAAAGAGAACTCACGCTAGTTGGAACAGGATGTCCCTAACGAGACTCTGGGACTAGGATTTCCTTCCTCTGGGCAAAGCTGCCGCCGTCCCTTAACCCCTGGTAGTCACAGTGTCCTGAAGGACCAGCCGGACCCTGGAAGGCCGGTGGGCCATGAGGTCCGCGCGGAACTCTTTGATGACGAAGTAGTAGCAGAAAACGTCGAGGCAGCAGTTGATGTTGGAGAAGCACAGCGACAGCTGCAGGAACAAGCTAATGCCGCGCTTGGCTCCGCACTGGACGATGAAGCCATTCCGCACCAGGAACTGCAGGAAAAAGCCCAGGTGCACCGGGAGGAAGGAGACCACGAACACAGCCAGGCTGGCGCCGATGGTCCAGATGCAGGCTTTCTGCTGGACCCAGTCCTGAGTCCGGTCTCGACGGCTGAGTAGCGTGCGGATGTTTCTGTAGGAGCAGAAGCTCATGACGCCCATGGGAAGGAGGAAGCCGAACACCTCCAGGGGGAAGAAGACCTGGGCGCTCCACGTGCCGTCAGACATGTTGTGGAAGCACGTGTACGTCTCCACCTGCCCGTGGAAGCTGTAGATCGGGATGCTTCCCGTCCACACCAGGAGCCAGATGGCGAAGCAGATCCCCAAGGTCTTCCTGGGGGAGCGGAGGTGGCTGACCAGGAGCGGGTACTGAATGGCCAGGAACCTGTCCAGGCTGATGGAGGAGATGGTGAAGATGCTCCCGTACATGCTGATGAAGTAGAGGCACTCCACCAGCGTGCAGAAGGCCGGGGAGGGAGGCTGCACTCGCGACAGCGCCATCTTGAACGGGAGCGAGAGGACCAGCAGGAGGTCGAAGATGGCCAGGTTGATCATGTAGATGGAGGTGGCTGCGTAGTCCCGGCGCCTCTTCAGGAAGGAGCCGAAGCCGCGGATGGCCAGCAGGTTGAGGAGCAGGCCCACGAGGAAGGTGGGGAGGTGTACGGCCAGCTGGAGGGTCTTGGTGAGCTCGTCCACGTCACTGAACGAGCAGTTGGTGCTTTCGGGAGCCTGGCTCATGTTCTGGCCTGCAACACGAGCCACAGGTTAGAGTGTCTCCGCTCTCTGTCTCTCCGTCTCTCTGTCTCTCTGTCTCTCTCTCTTTCCTTTGAAGTGATATGTTCAAATGTTGTCATAAAGAATAACAAACATCCCTCTCTCCCCCCAGTGAGTCCTACTTATCTAATCACAATGACCAAACAGAACCCAAACATTCCTTGGAACCCCAATACCCCAGTGGAGGCATCATTACCTTCTCATAGAGACGCTCCTCGCGTGGCTGTGCGATCACACCCCGCGCAGCGCACTGTGCATTGAACACTATGCTAATCCACCAGTGCCCTCCAGGCCCTCTGGCTAGCGAACGGCAGAGAGCAGCCTCGCTTGTCACAAAGGTGCCTCGGAACCTACATTAGCCTGCGCTTGGGTGAAATCATCTAACCATAAAGTGTTGAATATTTCATGCAACTTATTGACCCACTGGGCTTAGAGTGGAAAATAGAATGTTGTAAGGGTATGCTCTGTACCGTCATAAAGTTAAAATAGCCAAGGTCGAACCGTGGTAAATTGGAGATCATATGTATAGCAATCCAAATTCTTCCTCTCTTCTCTCACTCCTCCCCCCCAAATATTTTTCTCTTTTTTTCACTCAGAACTCCAGTTGAGGGGGCTGGGAAGGTGGCTCAGTGGTAGAGCACTTGCCTTGCATGCCTGAGGCTCTGGGTTAGATTCCTCAGCACCACATAAGCAAAAAGAAAAAAGCTGGAAGTGGTGCTGTGGCTCAAGTGGTAGAGTGCTAGCCTTGAGCTGAAGAGCTGAGGGACAGCGCCCAGGCCCAGAGTTCAGGCCCCACGACCAGACCAAAAAAAAAAAAAAAAAAGAACTCCAGTTGAAAGCAGTATCAGCACAAACCCTGCCTCAAACTGCTTTAAGCAGAGAGAGTATTTCAAAATGGCAAACGAGGGTAGAGTTGTATTCAGGTCCAACTTGATCAGGGATTCAAACGCTGATTCAGGGTGCAAGTCCTCTTTACACATTGTCCCCTCTGCTCACACTTTTCCATGGGTGACCGGCGCTCACTCCAGCCCTGATTGTAAGGGTAGTTACAGCCTGTGAACCACGCTGTCCTGGACGCACGACTTGCTCTGATCGGTGGGTCGGGTCAGTTGCAGATGCTTGCCACGCACAGAGGCAATGGAAAGCAATCGAACTGCTGGGTTTCTTTCTGTGGTCTCTGAAGGTGGCAAGATGTCACGTTTGGACCCACTGCAGTCTCTGCTCCCCAGAAGAGAAATCCAGACCCAAAACACAGTCAGGAAAGAAAGGACGTGACCTCTAGGAAGGTGGACCTGAGATCTCTGCAGGACAAAGAAAGGCCTGCAGACAGGTGAAAAGTGAAAACAAGAAGACCGAGACTACAGGTACGCTGCACAGGGTGTGCTCTGGCCAGGTGTGGCTTATGAGTCTGAACACTGTGGGGGGGGAAATAGGGCTCTGGATCAACATAGGTGCACAGAACCTACTGCCAGAATTATACTTAATGGTAAAAATCTAAAGCCATTCCCTCTTAACTCAGGAATGAGACAAGGATGTCCACTCTCTCCACTTCTCTTCAATCTAGTATTAGAATGCCTAGCTACAGCAATAAGACAAGATGCAGACATAAAGGGGATCCAAATAGGGAAAGATGAAGTAAAACTCTCCCTCTTTGCAGATGACATGATCTTATATTTCAAGAATCCCACGGACTCCACTCCCAAATTACTCAAGCTGATTCAAAACTTTGGCAAAGTAGCAGGGTATAAAATTAACCCTTAAACATCAATGGCTTTTCTGTATGCCAACAATGAGAAAAGTGTGGCTGAAATCAGGAAAGCAACTCCATTCATAATAGCCCCACAAAAATACCTAGGAATTAACTAACAAAGGAGTGAAAGACCTCTATGATGAAACCTTTAAAAACCTGAAAAAGGAAATCAAAACAGAACTTAGAAAGTGGAAAAACCGCCCATGCTCCTGGATTGGAAGGATCAACATCATGAAAATGGCAATACTTCCCAAGGCTATCTACAAATTCAATGCGATACCTATCAATATTCCAACCTCATTCTTCAAGGAAATAGAAGAGGCAATCCAAAAATTCATATGGAACAATAAAAGACCCCGAATAGCAAAATTGATCCTTAACAGAAAGAACACTGCTGGAGGAATATCAATACCAAATTTCAAACTCTACTACAAAACCATAGTAATCAAAACAGCTTGGTACTGGCACAAGAACAGACCTCAGGACCAATGGCATAGAATTGAAAACCCAGAAAGGAACCTACAGACCTATAGCCATCTAATCTTCAATAAGGGAGCTAAAAAAAAATAGAATGGAAGAAAGACAGTCTTTTCAGTAAATGGTGCTGGCAAAATTGGTTAATCACTTGTAGAAAACTAAAGCTAGATCCTTATATATCACCCTGCACCAGAATCAACTCCAAATGGATCAAAGACCTCGGAGTCAAAGCAGACACTCTGAAAACATTACAGGATGGAATAGGAAAATCCCTAGTTCTCCTTGGCACAGGCTGAAATTTTCTTAATAGAGACCCAGAAACACAACAAATCAAAGAAAAGTTGGACAAATGGGATTGCACGAAATTGCAGAGCTTCTGCATGGCAAAGGACATAGCTAGCAAGATCAATAGAAAGCCCATGAATTGGGAGAAGATCTTCACTAGCCATACAACGGACAAGAGTCTCATATCTAAAATATACCTGGAACTCAAAAAATTAAATCCCCCAACAACAAATCCTCAAAGAAACAACTGCCCAATAAATAAGCGGGCTAAAGACTTAAAGAGAAACTTCTCTGAAGAGGAAATAAGAATGGCCAAGAGACACATAAAGAAATGTTCAACCTCTCTAGACATAAAAGAAATGCAAATCAAAACAACATTGAGATACCACCTCACCCCAGTTAGAATAGCTATAATCAAGAGCTCTAATAACAACAGATGCTGGAGGGGATGTGAACAGAAGGGAACCTTACTGCATTGTTGGTGGGAGTGTAAACTTGTTCAGCCACTTTGGAAAGTAGTATGGAGGTTCCTCAAAAGACTCCACATAGGGGCTGGGAAGGTGGCTCAGTGGTAGAGCGCTTGCCTTGCATGCCTGAGGCCCTGAGTTCCATTCCCCAGCACCACATAAGCAAAAAAGAAAAAAGCCGAAAGTGGCGCTATGGCTCAAGTGGTAAAGAGCTAGCCTTTAGCTGAAGAGCTGAGGGACAGCGCCCAGACCCAGAGTTCAGGCCCCACGACCGGACTCAAAAAAAATTAAAAAAAAAATAAATAAATAAAAAGACTCCACATAGAGCTCCCCTATGACCCAGCAATCCCACTTTTGGGCATTTACCCAAATGATCACAAACAAGACCATACTAATGCTATCAACACAACTATGTTTATTGCAACATTATTTACCATAGCTAAGATATGGAACCAACCCAGATGCCCCCAGTAGATGAATGGATCAAGAAAATGTGGTATATATACACAATGGAATTCTATGCCTCCATCAGCAAGAATGACATTGCCCCATTTGTTAGGAAATGGAAAAACATGGAAAAAATTATATTAAGTGAAGTAAGCCAGGCCCAAAGAAACATAGGTCCCATGGTTTCCCTTATTTGTAATATCTAGTATATGTATGAGTCAAACAGAAATGGTCAGATAAGTTGATGTTAGGCGAAATGAACCCCAAGATAAGGACTCAAATGTTTTTTTCTTTCTTACTATTATTTCTAACATATTTATAAGGTATTTCTTTGTTGTTTTGTATGTCCCTCCCCCATGGTATAACCCCTGTTTTTACTGTGTTTGATGTTGGTATAATTTGTGAAGAGGAAAGGAAAAAAAACAAATTGTTTAAATAGGGATACAGATGTACCCATTGCAACAATGAGATGTACAAGATGTCGAAAAATGAATATTACAACTTTGGCGGGGGGGGGATGGGAACATTATCTTGCCCATGTAATTGTAACCTCTCTGTAAGATATATATATATATCTCCAGGCCTCCAGAGTCTGCCTGGCTGGAAACATAATTCCAGTACAACCCAACTCTCATCTTCCCCCACCTCTGCTCACTCCCCTCCTCCCCGTTTCTCACCGCTCCTCCCTCTTCCTCCCCCACTGGAGAGCAAGTACTGATGCAAGGTGTGTTATCGTTGGCAGGTGCCAACAATTGGCCTCTTCCATAGCTCAGCCAAGGCCTGCACTGGCCCCTCCCCACATCCCTCCCCCACCCCAGTGCTGGGTAGCAGGGCCCAGATCCCAGCATGCAGTGCGGGCCCCATCAACTGGCAGCAGGGAGTCCTGTCGCCACAGACAGCCCTGGGCAGCTACTGCTTTTATGCTAGGTCTTCTTTGAATGGAACAATGAATCCTGACACTCCATAAGATATTCAGACAGCACAAAAGAATGTGCCAAGGAGAATCAGTCTCTAATTCACCACCAGGCTCTGTTGGACTTTTCTAGAAGCAGCCACACTTCACATTTCCTCACATCTTTCCCCCAGCAGTTTCCAAATTCAGGCCTCCCTGCAGTATGTATATAAATATGGAGGACAGCTCTAAAAGGTTGAAAGTATTGTTATACCTATAATTCTACCCCTTGCTCTTCCAGTTAATAATATGTCTTGGAAGTGATTCCATATCACTATATTGGAGTCCACTTTCTCCTTCTTTTTTTTCAAGTTTATGGATTTTATTTTGACATCTCTAAAAGTTCGGAAATGTTATATAATATTATATATTATTCTGTCCATTGCTCTTCAAGTTAATAATCTTTCTTGGAAGTTGTTCTGTATCACTATATTAAAGTCAACTTTTTCCTTCTTTTTTTCAAGTTTATGAATTCCATTTTAGCATCCAAGATATATGGATATTCAACTGGTTTTAATAAAATACCCCATGAAATGACAAGAAAGTTATAAGTAAGAAATGACAGGAAATTATAAGAAACATAAATAATTAAAA